TGAGTAATGACACATCTCATTTAAATGAATTTGAGTTGAATATTAAAAAGCCATGTGAAAAACACAAGGAACAAAGATGACAAAGCCTCAAAAACACATTTGAATGTAATCATTCCAAAGTGTTGGAGAGATCCAAGAAAGCGTGTCAGTGTGGTTCCAGAACGCTGTTCAAATATTCTAGTAATGTCATTGTTCACTCTAATTTGTTGGCTCATTTGTTGTGTTCTTGGAGGCCCCCTGCCAGTGCAGCCTGCCCACATGCAGCGAGCAGCCCTTTTAGGGGACAGAGCTCTCCCTGGCTGGTTAATAAGTAGTCAAACCCAAGGAGTCAGCAGCTACCACGGCTGCCAGGGGGTTTTCCTTCAGGGAAACATCTCAAACACTAGCCGTATGCTGCAGGTATTCTGAGTGTTTGGGACATTTCTTGATTGGCATTAATGATGATGTTGAATGACATCATGTGTGCCCAGGTCAGTAGCAGTCACACCTGTGACAATGAACACATGTGTGCAAATGGTAGGAAAACAGCACATTTATGTGGATGGACTTGAGGAGTTTTGAAGGCAGGTGTCCAAGAGGAAATATTACCACACAGGGCACACAGAATACCGGTGACGTGAGGAGGAAGACCAGGAGTGGGATATGAGTGGTGGCCAGGGGGCACGATTACAGTGAACCAAAGACCTGCAGGACTGACCGTTCTGACAGACATGTCTAGTATAGAAAGGCCTATATTTATAAGGTGCCAGTGAGCCTGGTGATCAGGACAAAATAAGCCCCAAAGACTGGGGATTGAGTCTAACTAATGACTCAAACAGCAGGAACAGCCATTTAGAAGAAAGGAAGTTTTGTCTAAGCAAGCCATTAATCCCAACAGGGCTGCAGCCTGAGTCATGAGAGAGGTACAAGATCCAGTGAACACCTTTTTAAAGGGCCCAGCATTTTATACTTTGAGACATTAGTTGATAATATCAATAATTTCTAGAGCATCTTGGTGAGTCCTTGATTCTGGCTTCAGGAGGATCATGTATGACAGGAGGAGTACTTTGTCTATAAAAGGTCCTACCGTGGTCTGAGCGTAGCAAGCAGCCCAGCAGAGGGGTTGAGCAGCCCGACAAAGTCCATCTGCCATCAGCTGTAGGGTCCCTTTCCTCTGCCTGGACTTAATGTGCGTGGATTCTATTACCTGTGACACATGTTTTTCACATCAGGTGCGTTAGTAACGAGTTATCCATGGGCAGGGAGGGGAGTGCCCTGAACTCTGCCTAGGCCTTTAGGTTAGAGGCCTCTCAATGGTTTCATATCACAGGGGCCCATGGGCCAAGATTAATGCCATCAGGTCTGAGGTGTCAGTATGTGTCTCAGAAATTCGAGTCCATTTATCCCCCTGGAGACTGAGGTTTCATATGTGCAGCGTAAGGAGTGACCTGACTTGTACTTGGGTGTGTGAGGTAGGTATCCCAGAGTTCTTTCAGGCAGAGGGGCAACCTTGGCTAAGGAGATGTTGCTCTTGGTGGGAGGGGACAGCTAGATCACTGGCAGTGGCCAAAGGATCTGTAACAATGCAGATGAGGTTGATTCTTCCCCAAGCAATTCTCTGTTGCTGGTGCAATTAGCTGGAGTTTGACTCATCAATCTGACCCACTCTGTGATCAGGGCTGGCCTGTTTGATCTGGGGGAAGAACACAGCAACGCTGCAGTGGATCCAGTGGATCCTATCAGGTGTGGTGGTGCACACTGTGCATAAAGTATATGAACTCCGTGGTCATTCATGTGCCCCCAAGTCACTCATGAAGTGACCAATGTGTCTAAAAGGAGGCCACCTCCTCCAGAATGAATTAGATCAATCAGAGAAGAGGGCAACACTTTCTCTTGTAGAGGAGATATGTAGATAGTCTATTCTGTAAGTACGCATATCTCTTTAATGTGAAGGCCTCTGGTTAACAAGCCTGAGGGGTCCTGCATTCATGACCCAAGGCAAATGGGAAGCTGGCTATGGAGGATCAACTCAGGCCCTGGGAGGGCCTCCACTTATAAAAAGACTGTCAGTTGCCAGCAGCGGCTTCTCTAATTGCGTGCAGCACTGGATATGCATAATGGGAGGCTGCTAAAGCCTTTATGGTGAAGGGGTGCATGAAGGGAGACACTGCTGGAAGGAATGCTATTTCAAAAACTTCCAGAGCCATTTGTAGCCCAATTCAAAGTCAGTCAACTTTCAAGTGTTGTCTGAATAAGTAAGCAAGCAGATCTGATAATATGCAATGTTTGTGGTCACTGTGCCCAGGCCATGGATTCTACCACTGCTTGTGTCACCCTCCAAGCTCACAGCCCCCTCTTGCTGCCTCAGAGAAATTTTCCAGGGGGAACATGTGTGGATTCCTAAAGATGTTTTCTAGTAAGCAGGCACAGAGCAGGCTTGAGTTGGGAAATGAGGAGCTGGAAATGGTCTATGGATGGCTGTGAAAAGATCTGATGCTGATGCACATGAATGAGGATGTCCCAGGCAGATCCCAATTGGGATACACTTTTATGCTTTAGACCATAGTATTTCCAAAGACCTGTCCATGAACCTGAATTCAACTCAAAGAGAGAGTCTGGGAGCCCTCTCACTTCACTCCTGTTATGAGTATGAGCTGAGGGCAGGTGCAGCCCTAGGGGGCGTTTTATTCAATTAAGACAGGGTCCTTCTTGCCTAGTCCTGCAATATTCCTAAGAAGGATCCCACAGTGGTGGAAAGAAGTGTTGAAAACATAAAAATCAAGGATCAGGAGAGCTTAACATTCTCCTAGCATAGGAAACTGATTCTCTTACTCACTTTCCATTAATTATATAAATATATAATACGTTAGGTATACTTATAAATTTTCACAAATACTGCCATCAAAAGATGGAAAACATGCCATCACCAAGGAGAACACTCTCATGGTGCCCATTTGAATGAAATCTTTCCCATATGTAAATTAACACACACACACACACAAAAAAAAAAAAAAAAAGGAAAAGACTAGGGCTTTCTTTTGCTCTTTATCAAACCTTGTAGCTGTTTACTGGTCTTTCTCACTTTTCCATAACATGTGGTGTACGTCTAGGCATATGGAAATGAAACCTGTGATCAGCTAAATGGGTGACAGGGCTTTGAAGATCATTGAAACTAAAAACTTCCAGCTACTCCTTGGATAAAAAGACAAGATTTCCCATTCATCCTTTTGTATTCAATTAGGATGTTACTCAGAATGACACCCTCCCTCTGCAGCTCACTCAATTGTTCCTTGGCTGGTTGCCTCTCAACACCCAAAGCTCTTTGTGCTGTTTCCACTGGGGGATCACAGCCGACTCACAGAGATGTCACTCTACTCATAGAACTCACTCAGGATGAGCTAGAACAGGGCAGGTGAAGGCAACTGTCTCTCTAAGTGGGAGGAACTCCATGGTTTACTGGGGTGCATGTTGCACACTCCAGTCTGTAGAGCAGCAAAATGGAAATGTCAAAGACTATAACACTTTTAATATTTAAAGGTAAACAAAAATCCTCTCAAATGACATTAAAAACAAAAAGACACAACAAATATTTATGGCTTAAATCAACAGGAAGTCTCCAGTCCCAGATAACAATGACATCCTTGCTCACTCCTACCCTCATAGAAAAGATATAAACACACCTCAGCCTCCCTATTAATTCACACTGTTTTTTACTTTTCCTCAAAGCCCTTATTTCCATTTTAGCAGACAAAGCTTTACCATTTGTTAATCTCTCTTTTCCCACAAACATTTAAGCACCAGGACTGCAAGAACTAGTACATTTCAAGCACTGTATCCAAACCCTACCATGCCATATTTCTGCTACATTGGGTAACCTGACTCTATAATGGATGGCACATGAGGGATGCTGAAACATTAGCATCAAGAGCACAGACTCTGAGAAAGGAAGGGTGGATTGGCACAGTAGTCCTGTCTCTCTCCCTTGCTGGGTTTGCATTGTCTCACAATTTAGCTAATACCAAAGGTCTCAGCTGAGCCACAAAGGAGATAGTAAAAACATTAGGTAGTATACTAAGAAGTGAATTTACATGTTTTAACTGAGGTACTTCATAGTAAACAGTGTCTAATACACCACAGGAAATACATCAGTGTTTTGACTGTAAGTAGGAAAAGCAAAGGACCAGGAGCTGGCTGCGTCCACTGCAAGGCCAAGTCTTACCCTGCTGAACAGAACAATATCACACACATCATTTTTCAAAGGTAGACAGTTACCAAGACAAAAGTATTTTGTAGCTGTACCAGTAAAAATGGTAAAAGATAAAATTCCACAGAAATGACTAATACTCCCTTCTTACTAAAACAAATGACTGGAACTTCTTATAAGTCAACTTTAGCTCCACTATGAATAATAATCAAATCAACAAACACAGGTCAAAATCGTGCAAGAAGTCCTTCTGAGCACCCTGTTACTGTTATAGCTCACCATCCTCTATGGTCTGCTGTCATTCTTACTAGAATTCATCACACCCTCTCTCTGAATACAGGAGCAATCCTGCAGGTCACTGGCAAGAAGGCACTGAAAAAACCATGATAGTTAAGTTTTGTGTTAAGAATGAATGAGAAATTAGTTTCATGACAAAAATCGTAACTATAAAAGAATAAAAAATACAGTTTGAGGAAAAAATACTTGAGGGGCGGCCTGATGGCGTAGCAGTTAAGTTCGCGTGCTTCACTCCAGCAGTTCGCCGGTTCAGATCCTGGGTCCGGACAGACAGCACTGCTTATTGGGCCGTGCTGTGGCAGGTGTCCCACATATAAAGAAGAGGATGATGGGCACGGATGTTGGCTAAGGGCCAGTCTTCCTCAGCAAAAAAAGGAGGATTGCTGGCAGATGTTAGCTCAGGGCTAATATTCCTCAATACATAAATAATGGAAAAATACTTTAATTTCTATACTCATGATAAAACTGACTCATAATGTGTAATGATTAAATGAAGAAAATTGCCAAGTATATCTGAATATCCATAATTAACATAGATTTTAATATAATCTGAGGAAATGAACACAATATTTATTAGCATACAATGGGTTAGAACAGTTGATAAAATATATCAATGAAACTACTATAGGAGCGTTTATTTCATAAGGAAATGCATGTAGTTTAATGACATACAATCAAATATTATTGGAAGCATATTGAGGGAAAACATTCAGTGCCAAGTAACAGGAAACACACACAGTCTTCTGACATGAGAAAGGAGATTATTCTCACATGGAAGAACTGCGTGAAGGCAGCCGCTGCACAAGGCAGCAGAGAAACAAACTCCCATGTCCTTCTTTTGATGCCCCATTGTAGATGCCACAGTGAATCAGAAGACGTGCTCACTAGCACTATGAACAGTATAAGCTGTTTCCTATAAAATTAGAACTTTTACAGATATCTAAAAAGATCTCTAAAAAAGAGAGCAATCAGAGAATACTCCCAGCTGCAGAAGTTTGTACTGGTTTCCTGGTGGACACAAAAGACCTGACAGAAAAACCTTAACTCTAATGGATCTTTGATATGAAACTTGTGAAACCATCAGTGGAAAATACACCCCTAAGAAAATGGAAATGAAACAGTCGGTGGTGGTTTTCAAGATACTTTGTCTAGAAGGGCAAAGAACCCAGAAAATGGGACGGAAGATGGTGTCCTTGAAGCTCCTATGTAACTGTGTCTCTCCTTATATGGTGGCTCTAGAATCGGCCTAAGGCCTTGAGTGCTTCTGCCTTCCAAATCTCATGCAAGTGAGGCCACTGGGGAATTCCAACAAGGAGCCAGCAACGGGACAGATTCTTAAAGATCTAGCTCTTCAGATCACCCTCACTGACATGATGCAGTACAGGGGTGATGTGTCCAGCTCTAGATTTTCTTGCCCTGCCACAGGCCTCTACTTAATTCAAACTCTATTCACCAAATACCAGTCAGAAGGAAGGACAAAGAATAAAGGCCCAAATGTGAAAATAAGAATTTATAGGAAAGTATACTCTTTGATAAACTTGCCACACATAAAAACTTATTCCAACTGTTTAATAGTATTGAAAATGGAAGCAGGCTCTTATACCCACCACCCCAAAAAAGGAGCTTTCTCAAAGAAAAGAACAATATAGTCAATGGATTAGTCCTATCAAGGCCAGTAAGAAAATCCTGAGAAATACAAACTGTCATTTTTCAGTGGCACCTTAACATAGAAAAATTAAACAGTATTAAAAATTAATGAGAAAATATTAAATGATTCAAGAAAAACTACTTATTAAAGTTTCTGTACTATTAATGAAGGATGACTTGCAGAATAATCTCACCACCATATTCACTTGTGAAAGTAATTAATAGAAATCCACCATCAAATGTTGCACTTAGAGGCTTAGTAAACACAACATATTTACAGCTTTTATAACAAATATTTCATGTTGAAGATTTTCTAGAACATTATACACAAACTAATTCCCATCAAGCTTTCTCATATGACTTATTTATATTTGTTTTTGGTGGGAGTTTCACATAGAAGGCCAATTTAAGTCTTTCTCATGCTGTTTACATTCAAGAGGTTTTATCAAGTGAGTCCTTTCATGCCTTCAGAGAGAACTGGGATGAAAAAAAGGCTTTCCCACATTCTCTGCATTTATATGATTTTTCCTCTAGTGGGCATTCTCCCATATCCTCGAAAGTTTTCATTGGAAATAAAGGCTTTCCCATTTCCTGACATTCATGGGGTTTCTCTCTGTGTGAAATCTCTCAAGACTTTGAAGTGATCTGAGAGTAGTGAAAGCTTTACTGTATCCTTTGGCTTTCAAAGGGTTTCTCTGCAGTATGAGTTCTTTCATGTTTTCGAAGAGAACTTGAAGAAGTGTATGCTTTACTGCATATTTTACATTCATAGGGTTTCTCTCCAGTATGAATTCTATCATGTTTTCGAAGAGAACTCAAAGAAGTGTATGCTTTACTGCATTTTTTACATTCATAGGGTTTCTCTCCAGTATGAGTTCTTTCATGTTTTCGAAGAGAACTCAAAGAAGTGTATGCTTTACTGCATTTTTTACATTCATAGGGTTTCTCTCCAGTGTGGTTTCTTTCATGTACTTGGAAACCTTGAAGAGAAATAAAACCCTTACCACATACCTTACATACATAGGGCGTCTCTCCTGTGTGGGTTCTCCTGTGTATTTTTAAGGAACTATAACCACTGAATGCTTTCCCACATTCTTCACATTTATATGGTTTCTCTCCGGTGTGCACTCTCAGGTGTGTTTGAACATCTGTGTGACAAATGAAGGCTTTCCCACATTCCTGACATTCATAGGGTTTCTCTCCAGTATGAATTATTTCATGTTTTCGAAGAGAACCCGAAGAAGTGTATGCTTTACTGCATTTTTTACATTCATAGGGCTTCTCTCCAGTATGAATTCTTTCATGTTTTCGAAGAGAACTCAAAGAAGTGTATGCTTTACTGCATTTTTTACATTCATAGGGTTTCTCTCCAGTGTGATTTCTTTCATGTACTTGGAAACCTTGAAGAGAAATAAAAGCCTTACCACATTCCTTACATACATAGGGCATCTCTCCTGTGTGGGTTCTTTTGTGAATTTTTAAGGAACTATAACCACTGAACGCTTTCCCACATTCTTTACATTTATATGGTTTCTCTCCGGTGTGCACTCTCAGATGTTTTCGAACATCTGTGTGACAAATGAAGGCTTTCCCACATTCCTGACATTCACAGGGTTTCTCTCCAGTATGAATTATTTCATGTTTTCGAAGAGAATTTGAAGAAGTGTAGGTTTTACTGCATTTTTTACATTCATAGGGTTTCTCTCCAGTGTGAGTTCTTTCGTGTCGTTGAATAGAGCTGGGATGACTGAAGGCTTTCCCACATATTTTACATTCATAGGGCTTCTCTCCAGTATGAATTATTTCATGTTTTCGAAGAGAACTCAAAGAAGTGTATGCTTTACTGCATTTTCTACATTCATAGGGTTTCTCTCCAGTGTGAGTTCTCTCATGTCGTTGAATAGAACTGGAATAACTGAATGCTTTCCCACATATTTTACATTCATAAGGTTTTTCTCCAGTATGAGTTCTTTCATGTCGTTGAACACAGTTGGAACGACTGAAGGCTTTACCACATACTTTACATTCATACGGTTTCTCTCCAGTGTGACTCCTTCCATGTATTTGAAATACACTGGAAGAAAGGAATGTTTTCTCACATTTCTTACATTTGTAAGGTCCATCTCCAGTGTGAAGGATCATGTGTAATCGAAGGCTTGAGGGATGTATAAAAGTTTTCCCACATTCCTTACATTCATAGGGTTTCTCTCCAGTGTGAGTTCTTTCACGTAGTTGAACATTACTAGAAAACCTGAAGGCTTTACCACGTATTTTACATCCAACAGGCTTCTTTTCAGTGTGAGTTCTTTCATCTATTTGAAGAGAATGGGAAAAAGTGAAGGCTTTACTGCATTTTTTACATTCATAGAGTTTCTTTCTACTATAAATTCTTCCACGTATTTGAAGAGAACTGGAAGAATTAAATGCTTTACTGCGTTTTTTACATTCATAGGATTTCTCTCCAGTATGAGTTCTTTCATGTTTTTGAAGAAAACTGGGAAAACTGAAGGCTTTCCCACATTCCTTACATTTAAATGGCTTCTCTGCATATTTTTGATACTCGTATGGTTTCTGTTCAGTGTGATATCTAACATGCCTATTAAGGGATGAATGATGCATGAACACTTTTCCACCTGCGCTGCATCCCCATGGTTTAGCTCCAGTAGTTTTCTTGCTCAGATTGAGATTTGGGATAAGGCTGAAGTTTTCTCCACATTGAGTACTCTCTTCACTTTCACAGAGTCTCTCTATCAGACGGTTTCTGTAAAAATTGGGAAGCATATTATTAATGATTTTATATCTGATATATTTTCTATGATTTGTAGAAAAACTTTAGGTTTTCTGACTCATCTGAATTGTCTGAATTTGAATATAGTGAATGTTCTACAAGGGGACTTCAACCTTACGATTATCCAAGAACTGATATTCCTGTATAGGTTTTATTAATACTATTCCCAAGTGAAGTATTTCACAAAAACTGAATCTCTACATCAAATTTCAGAAAGTATATTTGGTGAAAAGCTTGAAAAATAACTAAATTTGAAACAAAGCTTATTTGTTTTGTTTGCTTCTTTTTAAAATTTTATAACATACCAGGATTCTCACTTGAGACGCTGCTTTCTATTGTATGACTCACCTTAGTTTTTCCTCCGGGTTTTTGTACTGATCTTCAACATCAAGATCGTCCGACGTTTTTCCTGAAATACAGACCCAGAAAGTTGATTCCAAAGTATTAGAAAATACAGGGGGCCGGCCCCGTGGCCAAGTGGTTAAGTTCACGCATTCCACTGCAGGCGGCCCAGTGTTTCATCAGTTCGAATCCTGGGCGTGGACATGGCACTGCTCATCGAGCCACACTGAGGCAGTGTTCCACATGCCACAACTAGAAGAACCCACAACTAAGAATATACAACTAGGTACCGGGAGGGGCTTTGGGGAGAAAAAGGAAAAAATAAAATCTTTAAAAAAAAAAAGAAATTACAGAAAAATTTTTAGATTCTAAGCTCATGATGAGCTATGACCATTTCTAGCTTATTTACCAATATCCTCCATTTCCACATTCTACATATTGGAACCACATTGATGTCAAGATACACTTGTTCTCTCATTGATGACATGAAGGAATGTCCTCATTCTTACCTACTGAGGCCAGGTGCCTGAAGGTTTCCCACATCACATCTCTGTAGAGTTTCTTCTGTGAGGGATCCAGTAAAGCCCACTCCTCTGGGGTGAAGTTCACAGTCACGTCCTCAATGGTCACTGAGTCCTAAAACACCACAAACATGTATAGTGTTGGATGCATAAGACTGACAGCAATGGGGACATATACTCCATTTGAAGGAAGGTTGTGTATGACTATGTCATTTCCAAATATTTATTCTAAGATGAGATCATCAAAAACAGACTATTTTTCTGTAAACACTTCCTCAATTTAACAGCATTATGAACACATGAAAATTATTTTCACATTTTTACTGTGATCACCCTATATTGTATTTCTCTGTAATGGCAGGGTCCAGAGCATGTTGGGAAATGACAGAAATGCCATACAAATGAAACAAATGTTATCATTTTTTTTTATTAATGTTATGATAGATTACAACCTTGTGAGATTTCAGTTGTACATTTTTGTTAGTCATGTTGTGGGTACACCACTTCCCCCTTTGTGCCCTCCCCCCACCCCCCCTTTTCCCTGGTAACCACCGATCTGATCTCCTTATCAATATACTAACTTCCACCTATGAGTGGAGTCATATAGAGTTCGTCTTTCTCTGACTGGCTTATTTCGCTTAACATAATACCCTCGAGGTCCATCCACGTTGTTGTGAATGGGCCAATTTTGTCTTTTTTTATGGCTGAGTAGTATTCCATTGTGTATATATACCACATCTTCTTTATCCAATCATCAGTTTCTGGGCATGTAGGCTGGTTCCACGTCTTGGCTATTGTAAATAATGCTGCGATGAACATAGGGGTGCAACGGACTCTTGAGATTTCTGATATCAGGTTCTTAGGATAGATACCCAGTAATGGGATGGCTGGGTCATACATAGGGTATTTCTATTTTTAACTTTTTGAGAAATCTCCATACTGTTTTCCATAGTGGCTGTACCAGTTTGCATTCCCACCAACAGTGTATGAGGGTTCCTTTTTCTCCACAACCTCTCCAACATTTGTCGCTCTTGGTTTTGGATGTTTTTGCCAATCTAATGGGTGTAAGGTGATATCTTAGTGTAGTTTTGATTTGCATTTCCCTGATGATTAGCGATGATGAACATCTTTTCATGTGTCTATTGGCCATATTCATATCTTCTTTTGAGAAATGTCTGTTCATGTCCTCTGCCCATTTTTTGATTGGGTTGTTTTTTTGTTTTTAAGCCGTGTGAGTTCTTTGTATATTATGGAGATTAACCCTTTGTCGGATATGTGGCTTGTAAATATTTTTTCCCAATTAGTGAGCTGTTTTTTTTGTTTCAATCCTGTTTTCCCTTGCCTTGAAGAAGCTCTTTAGTCTGATGAAGTCCCATTTGTTTATTCTTTCTATTGTTTCCCTCAACTGAGGAGTTATAGTGTCCGAAAAGATTCTTTTGAAACTGATGTAAAAGAGTGTACTGCCTATATTCTCTTCCAAAAGACTTATTGTCTCAGGCCTAATCTTTAGGTCTTTGATCCATTTTGAGTTTATTTTGGTGTGTGGTGAAAAAGAATGGTCAATTTTCAATCTTTTGCATGTGGCTGTCCAGTTTTCCCAGCACCATTTGTTGAAGAGACTTTCTTTTCTCCATTGTAGGCCCTCTGCTCCTTTGTCGAAGATTAGCTGTCCATAGATGTGTGGTTTTATCTCTGGGCTTTCAATTCTGTTCCATTGATCTGTGGACCTGTTTTTGTACCAGTACCATGCTGTTTTGATCACTGTAGCTTTGTAGTATGTTTTGAAATCGGGGATTGTGATTCCGCCGGCTTTGTTTTTCCTGCTCAGGATTGCTTTAGCAATTCGCAGTCTTTTGTTGCCCCATATGAATTTTAGGATTGTTTGTTCAATTTCTGTGAAGAATGTTCTTGGGATTCTGATTGGGATAGCACTGAATCTGTAGATTGCTTTAGGTAGTATGGACATTTTAACTGACAATTCTTGGTGAGAAAACTTCTTTCATCCTCTTATTACCCACCAGTTACAACACTCCATGAGGCAGAGGGTCAAGCCTGCCTGAGGTTTCAATGAATAAAAACATAGTGAAGAACTGAAAACTTAATTTTGTCTAGTCCCATCACCAAACAGAAAGTCCAGGAGGCCTGCAGAAATAAAAGTTTTTATTTGTTTTAATTGAGGTTATGATAGTTTACAACATTGTGAAATTCCACTCGTATATTATTGTCAGTCATCTTTTAGGTGCACTCCTGAACCCTTTGTGCACACCCCCGAGCCCCCTTCCCCATGGTAACCACTAAATAGTTCTCTTCGTCCATGTGTTTGTTTATCTTCCACATATGAGTGGAATCATATAGTGTTTGTCTTTCTTTATCCGGCTTATTTTGCTTAACATAGTACCCTCAAGGTCCATCCATGTCATTGTGAATGGGATGACTTTGTCATTTTTTATGGCTGAGTAGTATTCCATTGCATATATATACCACCTCTTCTTTATCCAGTCATCAGTCAATGGGCACTTGAGTTGCTTCCACATCATGGCTATTGTGAATAGTGCTGCAATGAACATAGGGGTGCATGGATCTCTTCAAATTGCTGATTTCAAGTTCTTTGGATAGATACCCAGTAGTGGGATGGGTGGGTCATCTGGTATTAGAAATAAAACTTTCAACAAAGCCCAGCTGGCCACATTATGCTACAGTACTCCAGGCCATTACAAGGAATCACACACAGCTGGCTGAATGTAAATACTTCTGTGGGGAAGCATTGTTTTTAACTTGTGTAATATTTATCATAGACTCAGTCCTTCCTTTCTCTCCCAGTATGATAGATGAGGCTAGAAAGTTATTTGCAACTTAAAGGTCAGACATGAGGGAGAAGGCGTGACAACTTAGACCATAAAAATCCCTATATGCATGTGCCTCAAGGCTACTTCAAACTAATTTCAGATCATATAGTGCTAAAACAGTGTGCCATAAGAGCTCTTTTTGGTCAACTGCTAATAGTGTACTTGCCTTGCTGCCCTTGAGGAGCAGGTTAAGAGCTGCAGCTTCCACAGGAGCTCACTGAAGTCCACAAAAGTTTGATGGTCAATGGCCATGATTATAGAATATGTAAAGTATTCAACAGTGCTTTCCTCCAAAAGAACATAAAATCTCCATTCTCCAACTTCAAGAGGACATGTTTTCTGACCAGCCACTCTGGATGATGCCCTGCCAACTTCTGATCTGACACTTAAGGAGCTTAGAAGCTGTCATTCTTGATCTCACAAGAAGAAAATGAACAAACTTGAAATGAACAATTCTTCTGAGATCCATGAGACCCTGGAGGTCACAGGGGAAATGAGTGTGTCAAAAAATGGAAAAAAAGAGGGGCTGGCCAGGTGGCACAGTGGTTTAGTTCACACACCCCACTTCAGTGGCCTGGGGCTTGCAGGTTTGGATCCTGGGCGTGGACCTAGCACCACTCATCAACCCATGCTGTGGTGCATCCCACATAAAATAGGGGAAGACTGGTACAGATGTTAGCTCAGTGAAAATCTTCCTCAAGAGAAAAAAAGATTAGCAACAGATGTTAGCTCAGGGCCAATCTTCCCCACAAAAAACAAAAAGCAAAAAAACAGGAAAAAAGAAACAGCATTTTTTTTGTTTTTAAAATTATTTTATTGATGTCATATTGGTTTATAACATTGCGTTATTTCAGGTCAACATTATTATATATCAATTTTTGTATAGATTACATCATGATCACCATCAATAATCTACTTTTTATCCATCACCATACCTATGTGCCCTTACTCTTTCACCTAACCCCCCATCCCCTTCCTCTCTGGTAATCACTAATCTGACTTTTTATCCATTTGTTTGTTTATAATCCACATATAAGTGAAATCATACAGGATTTGTCTGTGTATGGCTTATTCAACTTAACATAATACCCACAAGGTTCATCCATACTGAGGCAAATGGGATGATTTTGTCTTTCGTGTGGCTAAGTAGTAATCCACTGTGTATATACACATCTTCTTCCTTTTTTTTTTTGTTTTTCAAGGAAGATTAGCCCTGAGCTAACATCTGTCAATCCTCCTCCTTCAGCTGAGGAAGACTGGCCCTGAGCCAACATCCATGACCATCTTCCTCTACTTTATACGTGGGATGCCCACCACAGCCTGGTTTGCCATGCGGTGCCATGTCAGCACCCAGGATCCGAACTGGTGAACCCCGGGCCACCAAAGCGGAATGTGCACACCCAACCGCTGCACCATCAGGCCGGCCCCCACAACGTCTTCTTTATACATTCACCAGTTGATGGATACATCTGTTGTGTCCACAAATTGGCTATTGTGAAAAATGGTGCAATGAACATAGGGGAACATAAATCTCTGTGTTGTTGATTTCATGTTCTTTGGATAAATACCCAGTACTGGGATAGCTGCATCATATGGTATTTCTATGTTTAACTTTTTGAGAAATCTCCATATTGTTTTCCATAGTGGCTGCACCAGTTTGTGTTCCTTCCAGTAGTGTCTGAGGGTTCCATTTTCTCCACATTGTCTCCAACATTTGTTATTTTTCATCTTTTTAATTGTGGCCATTCTGACAGGTGTAAAGTGATATTTCATTGTAGTTTTGATTTGCATTTCCCTAATAATTAGTGATGTTAAACACCTTTTCATGGGACTGTTGGCCATCTGTACATCTTCTTTCAAAAAGTTTCTGTCCAGATCCCCTGCCCATTTTTTGATTTTTTTTTTTTTAAATAGCCTAAGTTCTTTATATATTTTGGAAACTAACCCCGTTGTCCGATATGTCATTTGCAAATATTTTCTCCCAGTTGGTAGGGTTGTCATTTGTTTCATGGTTTCCTTTGCCTTGCAGAAGATTTTTAGTCTGACGTAGTCCCATTTGTTCATTTTTTTCTTGTTTCCCTTGCCTGAGCAGACATGGTATTAGAAAACATGCTCCTAAGACCGATGTCAAAGAGTGCTGTCAATGTTTTTTTCTAGGAGTTTTATGGTTTCAGGTCTTACATTCAAGTCTTTCATCTATTTTGAGTTAATTTTTCAGTACGGTATAGGATAATGGTACACTTTCATTCTTTTGCATGTGGCCGTCCAGTTTTCCCTACACCATTTATTAAAGAGATTATCCCTTCTCCATTGTATGTTCTTGGCTCCTTTCTTGAAGATTTGCATGCGTAGATGTGTGGTTTTATTTCTGGGCTTTCAATTCTGTTCCATTGATCTTTGTGTCCGTTTTTGTGCCAGTATCTTGCTGTTTTGATTACAATAGCTCTGTAGTACATTTTGAAGTCAGGGATTGTGACGCCTCCAGCTTTGTTCTTTTTTCTCAAGATTGCTGTCATTCAGGATCTTGTTTAGTTCCATATAAATTTTATCATTCATTGTGATTGGGATTGTATTCAATCTGTAGATTGTTTTAGGTAATACGGACATTTTAATTATGTTTATTCTTCTAATCCATGAGCATGGAATATCTTTAAATTCCTTTATGTCTTCTCCAATTTCTTTCAATAATGTCTTATAGTTGTCATTGTATAGGTCTTTCACCTCCTTGGTTAAATTTATCCATAGATATTTCACGCTTTTTGTTACAATTGTAAATGGGATTGAATTCTTGAGTTCTCTTTCAGCCAGTTTGTTATTAGTGTACAGAAATGCACCTCAGTTTTGTATGATGTTTTTGGACCTACCAATTTTGGTGTAGTTGTTGATTATTTCCAATAGTTTTCTAGTGGATTCTTTAGGGTTTTCTATATATAGAATCATGTCATCTGCAAACAGCGAAAGTTTTACTTCTTCCTTTCGTATTTGGATTCCTTTTTCTTTTTGTTGCCTAATTGCTCTGGCCAAAACCTCCAGTAATATGTTGAATAAAAGTGGTGAAAGTGGGCATCTTTGTCTTCTTTCTGTTCTCAGGGATATCTTTCAGTTTTTCACCATTAACTATGATGTTGCCTGTGGGTTTGTCATATACGGCCTTAATTATGTTAAGGTACTTTCCTTCTATGTCCATTTTATTTAGGGCTTTTATCATAAATGCATGTTGGATCTTGTCAAGTGCTTTCTCCATTGAGATGATCATGTGACTTTTTATTTCTGATTTTGTAAATGTGGTGTCTCAGATTGATTTGTGGATGTCGAAACATCTCTGCATCCCTGGTATAAATTGCACTTGCTCATGGTGTATGATCCTTTTAATGTATTGCTCTATTCGATTTGCCAATATTTTGTGGAGGATTTTGCATCTAGGTTGATCAGTGACATTAACCTGTAATTTTCCTTCTTTGTGTTGTCCTTCTCTGGTTTTGTTGTTAGGGTAATGTTGACCTCACAGAATGAGTTAGGAATCATTCTGTCTTCTTCAATTTTTTGGAATAGTTTGAGAAGGATAGGTATTGTCATCTTTGAATGTTTGGTAGAATTCTCCAGTGAAGCCATCTGGTACTGGATTTTTGTTTTTTGGGGGGAGATTGTTGATTGCTGTTTCTGTTTCTTTACTTGTGATTGGTCTATTCTGATTCTCTATTTCTTCTTAATTCAATTTTGGAAGAGTCTAAGAACTTATCTATTTCTTCTAGGTTATCCAATTTGTCAGCATATAGTTCCTCATAGTGTTCTACCATAATCCTGTGTATTTCTGTGATATCCATTGTGATTTCTCCTCTTTCAGTTTTAATTTTGCTTATTTGCACCTTCTCTCTTCTTTTCTCAGTGAGTCTGACTAAAGGTTTCTCAATTTTGTTTATATTCTCAAAGAATCAGCTCTTAGTCTCATCAACACTTTCTATTGCTTTTTTAGTCTCTGTATCATTTATTTCTGCTCTAATTTTTATTATTCCCCTCCTTTTGCTGACTTTGGCCTTTGTTTCTTCTTCTTCTTCTTCTTCTAGTTCTGTTAGGTGTAGTTTAACACTATTTGAGATTTTTCTTGCCTGTATTGTTATAAATTTCCCTCTTAGTACCAATTTTGCTGCATCCAATAAGAGCTGGTATGTTGTATTTTAATTTTCATTTCTCCCCAGGTATTTTTTAAATCTCTCCTTTGATGTCTTCATTGGTCCAATGGTTGTTCAGTAGCATATTATTTAGTCTCCACATATTTGTGACTTTCCCAGCTTTTTCTTGTATCTGATTCCTAGTTCCCTACCATTGTGGTAAGATGCTGGATATGATTTCAATTTTCTTAACGTTATCAAGGCTTGCCTTGTTTCCTGACATATGGCCTATCTTTGAGAATATTCCATGTGCACTTGAGAAGAATGTGTATTCTGCTGTTTTTGGATGGAGTGTTCTATAGATATCCATTAAGTCCAGCTGGTATGGCTTTTCGTTTAATTCCAGTATTTCCTTGTTGACTTTCTGTCTGGATGATCTACCCATTGATGTAAGTGCGGTGTTTTGGTCCCCTACTATTATTGTTTTGCTGTCAATTTCTCCATTTAGGTCTATTAATAGTTGCTTTATATACTTTCATGCTTCTGTGTTAGGTGTGTCCTCTTGGTGGAAAGTCCCTTTTCCCTCATATACAGCCCCTCTTTCTCTCTTTTTTTTTTAAAGATTGGCACCTGAGCTAACAACTGTGCCCATCTTTTTTTTTCTCCTTCTTCTTTTTCTCCCCAAAGCCCCCCAGTACATGGTTGTGTATTCCCATTGTGAGTGTCCCTGGTTCTGCTATGTGGGACGCCACCTCCGCATGGCATTGATGAGTGGTGCCATGCCTGTGCCAAGAATCCAAATGGGCGAAACCCTGGGCCGCTGAAGCAGAGCGCACGAACTTAACCACTTGGTCATGGGACAGGCCCCTCTCTCATTCTTTTTCTAAATTTTGAAGTCTGCTCTAAGTATGGCAATACCTGCTTTCTTCTGTTTTCCATTTGCTTGGAGTATCATCTTCCATCCTTTCACTCTGAGCCTATGTTAGTCTTCAGAGCTGAGATGTGCTTCCCCGAGGCTGTGTATTGTTGGGTTTTGTTTCTTAATCCATCCAGCTACTCTGTGTCCTTTGATTGGAGAATTCAATCCATCTACATGTAGAGTGATTACTTATATATGAGAGCTTGATACTGTCATTTTATCTCTTGTTTTCTGGTTGTTCTACATTTCCATTGTTTCTCTTGTATTTCTGACTGCCATTTCATTTTGGTGCTTTTCTGTGGTGATTTTCTCAGTTTTCCTTTTTTTGTGGCTCTGCTCTAATTTTTAGTTTAGGGGTTACTGTCAGGTTTGTATTAAAAAAAAATCTCATAGATGAGACAGTCCATTTTCTGATAGCCTCTTATCTCCATAGCCTAAGCAGGTCCCATTCCTTTCTTCTTCCCCAAGATATTGTTGTCACAAATTATTCAGTTTTCTGTTGTGAGTTTGTGACTAAGTTGAAGTGTTTACTGATACTTTTGACGCTTTCCTTCCCTTGAGATTTTAAGCTATAATTAAGTATTTGCTACCCTGTTCGGAAACAGAGCTGCAGTTTTTTGATTCTGTGTGTCTATTTATTACTTTGCTCAAAGCTTTGTAGACCTCTGCATTTTTGTTTCAGATATGAGGGCATCCTTGATCCATTTCTTATAGGGGAGGTCTAGTGGTGATGAACTCCCTCAGCTTTTGTTTATCTGGGAAAGCTTTTATTTCTCCATCATATCTGAGGGTTAGTTTCACTGTATAGAGTATTCACAGCTGAAATTTTTCTCTTCCAGGATTTGGAATATATTATTCCATTCTCTCCTAGTCTGTATGGTTTCTGCTGAGAAATCTGCCGAAAGCCTGATAGGGGTTCCTTTGTAGGTTTTCTTCTGCCTTGCTGCCCTCAATATTTTTTCTTTGCCATTGACTTTCACCAGTTTTAATATTATATGCCTTGGAGAAGATCTTTTTGCATTGATGTAATTAGGAGTTCTATTGACTTCACGTACTACTAAGTCCATTTTCCTCCCCAGCTTTGGGAAGTCTCAGGTATTGCTTGTATGAACAAGCTCTCTGCTACTTTCTCCCTCTTTTTTCCCTCTGGAATTCCTGTAATCCTTACTTTGCTCATCCTAATTGAGTCAGATATTACTCAAAGAAATTCTTCATTTAAAAAGAATTTTAGCTCTCTGTCCTCCTCTACCTGAAGTATTTCTTTATTTGTGTCCTCCAACTCACCAATTCTATCCTCAATAACATCAGCTCTATTTCTTATGGTTTCTAGATGATTTTTTATCTCACTGTGTTACTCATAACCAGAATTTCTGGGGGGTTTTTGTTGTTGTTAGAGCTTCAATTTTTTTGGTGAAGTACTTCTTCAGCTGATTAATTTTATTCTTGAGCTCACTGAATTCTCTGAGTTTTCTTGTAACTCACTGTGTTTCTTTATGACAATTACGGTGAATTCTTTCTCCTCTAGATTGTAAAGTTCTGTGACTTCAGTACTGTTTTCAAGAGACTTGTCATTTTCCTTCAGCTCTGAATTTTTGACAAATTGATCCTTTGCTGGCACATTTGTGGTACTATCAGGTTGCAGCTTCCACCTGCCACCACTCGGGGGGAGCAGAGCTGTGTCTTCTGATCCTGCCCTGTGTGCTGGAAGTTGTGTTGCTAGGGCTGCTCTGCATCTGCACAGGCTGGCCACAGACACTCTGCAGGTATTGGTCATATGGGCATGGCCTCTGTGCTGGGTGGGTGACACAGACCATAGCTGGGGTGTCTGTGCTCAGTAGGCAGGTTGCTCTCACATTGGTGGGGCCACTGCACTCAGCATGAGACTGGCTGAGATGCTGCACTAGGTGGGAGGGGCACCTACATGGAGTCTGATCCACCACTCAGTGAGTCCCATGGGCTGCTGTACTCTATGGGCGGGGCAGCTTCTCACCTGTGCTGTGCTCCGTGGGTGGGCACCTTAATGGGGGCTGAGCCACAGCTTTTTGGTGAGAAGTGATCCCACAGGTAGGGCTGCCACAGAACAGTGAAGCACAGCATTTTGAAATATGCCCGAGATTCTGTTCTTAACAAAGTCTGTACTGAAAAACATCTGTTTCACCAGACTCTAATGGAAAGACAAATAAAAAAAAAGATGGAACACAGTAGCCATGATGCCTAGGACAATTGTCTTTAACAAAAGATTTAAAATACACACAATGGGAATACCTGAAGGGAAAGAAACAGAAAAAACAAGTGAAATGATAATCACCTAAACATCCTAAAATTAATGACAGCCAGCACACTGTACATGCAAGAAGCTCAGAGAACACTAAATATGATAACTACAAAAGTGCACACTAGAGGATATCACATTCAAACTAGAGAATGAAAAACAGAGAACATACGGAGAAATCCAAGAGAAGGAACACAACTTAGTTACAAGGAAACAGAGATTTGAATTAAATTGGACTTCTTTTAAAAAATCATACAAGCAAAAAGAGTAGAATGAAATATTTAAAGTTTTTGGGGAAAAAACCCCACTCTCCTAGAACTCTGTCAAGCAAAATTATCCTTCAAAAATAAAGGAGATACAAGAACTTTCTTAGACAAAAATTGATGAACTCTGTCATGAGTATACCTGCTGTGAGTGAAATGTTCAAAAATTTATCAGAAAGAATGTAGGGGCTGGCCCCGTAGCCAAGTGGTTAAGTGTGCACATTCTGCTTCGGCAGCCCAGGGCTCACCAGTTCGGATCCCAGGTGCGGACATGGCACCGCGTGGCAAGCCATGCTGTGGTAGGTGTCCCACATATAACATAGAGGAAGATGGGCACGGATGTTAGCTCAGGGCCAGTCTTCCTCAGCAAAAAGAGGAGGATTGGCAGATGTTAACTCAGGGCTAATCTTCCTCCAAAAAAAACAAAAAAACAAAAAACCCAAAACCCAGAAAAACCAAAGATCTATCATCAGTAATGTAAGCATCTATGTTAGAAAAAAATTACAATAAGAACAAATTAAACCCATAGGCATGATAAAAGAAATAAAAATTATGAAAGAAATCAATCTCATGGAAATCAATGGAGAAAATTAAAGCAAAAAAGCTGGTTCATGAAAAGACTAATAAAACTGATAAACATCTAGTCAAGATAACAAAAAAAGGAAGACAGAAGTTAGTAATATCAGAGAGGAAAGGACTGTGAAATGAAAATAAAAAAGGATTTGATAAAATCCAAAATCCACTTATAAGAAACCAGTAATAGAGGAGAACTTCCACTTCTTAAGAAAGAACATCTTTCTGAATCCTGTAGCTAAATTTATAACAATTGTTCCATATGGCATAACTGTCTCTGTTAAACGTCTGAAAGAATTCACAACTAACTAATTCTGTTAGTCCTGGAATTAACAGAATATACCAAGGTTGAAGAATACATGAGTCAACTGCTTTCCATATAGCCCCACACAAACAGAGTCAGGTGATCCTTGAAAAAGAAGGAAAGGCAATTCAAATGAAAAAGAAAGTCTTTTATTTGTTTTTGTTGTTGTTGGGGTTTTTTTTTTTTTTAGGAAGATTAGCCCTGAGCTAACTACTGCCAATCCTCCTCTTTTAGCTGAGGACGACTGGCCCTGAGCTAACACCCATGCCCATCTTCCTCTACTTTATACATGGGGCGCCTACCACAGCATGGCTTTTGCCAAGTGGTGCCATGTCCGCACCCGGGATCTGAACTGGTGAACCCTGGGACCCCGAGAAGCAGAACGTGTGAACTTAACTGCTGCGCCACCAGGCCGGCCCCAAAGAAAGTCTTTTAAACAAACGTTGGTGGAAATAATGGATATCTATATGCAAACACACACAAAAAAATGTAGACATGGGGCTTACACTTTTCACAAAAATTAAGTCAAAACACATCACAGGTCTAAATGTGAAATGCCAAAAGAATAAACTCCAGGAAGAAAACATAGGAGGAAAGCTAGATGACCTTGGGTTTTGAAATGAATTTTTAGATACAAAACCAAAAAGCAAGGTCCACAAAAGAAAAACAAAAATTACATCATTAAAATGGAAAACTCCTGCTCTGAGAAAGACAGCGTTAACAGAATAAAAGCAGAATTCACAGAATAAGAGAAAATCTTTTTAAAACACATATTGGATAAATGATTGGTATCTGAAATATCCAAAGAACTCTTAAAACTCAATGGTCACAGAACAAACCACTCAATTAAAAACTGGGCAAAAGATCTGCACAGAAAGCTTTCACTGAAGATACACAGATGGGAAATAAGTCATAAAGAAACATGCTCCACATCAAATGTCATTAGGAAATTGCAAACAAAACAACGAGGTATCATTCAACACTTATTAAATGGGGAAAATACAAAACAGAACACCAAATATTCGTGAAAATGCAAAACTACAGGTAATCCTCATTCACTGCTGGTGGAGATGGAATTTGGTGTGCCTACATTGGAAGACAGAAACTTTCTTTGAAAACAAAATACACCCTTGCTACACAAAGTAAGATCCAGCATCACACTCCTTGGTATTTTCCCAAATGAGTTAAAACTTTATGTTAACACAAAACTTACACATGAATGTTTTTCGGAGCTTTATTCATAACTGGCAAGAGCTAGAGTTTTAAGCAAGCTGTCCTGCAATAGTCAAATAGACAAAAACAATCGGTGGTCCGTCCATACAATGAAATACTGTTTAGTGATTAAAAAATGAGATATCAAGCCATGAAAACACATGGAGGAACTTTAAAAGCATATTGCCAAGGGAAAGAAGCCAATGTGACAAGGCTATGTAGTGTGTGATTCCAAGTATATGAGATTCTGGAAAAGACAAACCATGAGCCACTAGAAAGGCCTTTGGTTGTGAAGGATTTGGGGGTCGGAGGAGGGATGAGTTAATAGGTGGAGCACAGAGGAGTTTCAGGGAAGCGAAACTAGACTCCATGATACAGAAATGATGGGTCCACGTCATTACACATTTGCCAAAACCCACACAGTGTGTAACACACAGAGTCAACGCTAATGTGCAGCATGCACTGTAATGCGTCAATATGGGTCAGAAACTATAACAAACGTCCCACAGTAATGCAAAATGAGAAAAATAGTGCAAACTGTATGGATGTAGAGAGAAGGGTGATGTGGAAACTTTGTAAATCCTGATCAATTCTTCTGTAAACCTAAAATTGCTCTAAAAATACTTGAAGTTTTTCAAATAAAGAGATGGGGGGGCCAGCCCAGTGGCGCAGCGGTTAAGTGCACACGTTCCACTTCAGTGGCCTGGGGTTCGCCTGTTCGGATCCCGGGTGCGGACATGGCAACACTCGACAAGCCATGCTGTGGTAGGCGTCCCACGTATAAAGTAGAGGAAGATGGGCACGGATGTTAGCTCAGGGCCAGCCTTTCTCAGCAAAAAAGAGGAGGATTGGCTGCAGTTAGCTCAGGGCTAATCTTCCTCAAAAAAACAAAAACAAAAACAAAAACAAACAACAACAAAAAATCAAATAAAGAGATGAAGAAGACTCATTATAATTCACTCCTGATGACTTAACAGGACATCTTTCATTCAACATATTTCAATAAGCCAGTCTGGTGCTCTAGGAGCCTGAGACCCATAGGGGAGGTGAAACTTCCATCGAATGCCTTGTTGGGGAGCACAGCACTGTATCCTCTGAGAAGCACCATGGTCACTATCAGTAGTGTCAGAACTCCAAGGGGGATGACGAGTGTCCTTTTGAGTCCTTGTATTGTAGACCTAGTAAGGTACAGAACAAGTGCTACCTTGATTTCTATTTTGAGTATCTCTGAGTCAAGAGATTCCTAGAATTCCTTTACCACAAAGGGGCATCTCTCAAACAATCATCCAAGAGGTTGTGAACACATGTAGATGAGGCCAATTTTGGGCCAGTAGTAAGATGACTGCCTGATATTTGCTTAGAGTCTGTGATCCTTGGGTTTGGTTCATCATCAGGGATGTCCCAATTAAGGGATGAAGAGCAGCAACTCCACTGAGCTCCATCACATAACAATGTGTGTTGTCCTTAAAGACTTTGTACTGTCTGGTGCTGTGCATTCAGTTAATCCCAAGGAACTACCCAAGAAACCAAGGACTCTGGGACAGGAGTGACCTCATTCATCATCAAAGCATCTTTCAACGAATTGAAGACAGGTTATGCCCCTCCTGCAGGTGGCATACGCTGCAGGGCCAAAGTTAGGTCCATCATATCACAAGTAGGTGTGAGTAGCTGGGCTGAGCTGGCAGGGTGCCGTTTCCAGAGCCAAAGGCATAAAAGGTGCCTTGGTAGAGGGTCACATGCTCAGTGTTTGTGAGAGCCTCTATGTTCAACAGATGTCAGTACCTGGTGACAACAGCAGCTCTAATGGCATACAGTGTGGGATGTGGGGCAGTTTCTTGCATCAGAGGCCTATGGACAACTTAAGGCCCTCTGCCAGAGAGCCTCACATCACTGCCATCAGGGTCAGGGACCTCCTCCATGACAATGGCTTGCTTTATAGAGTGTAAAGGACCCAGGCTTAAGTGAGGTTTGAACTAATCCCTTTACTGGGCCAAACTCAGACTGTGGGTGTTGTCCACTATAACCCAGAGGGTCAGGATCTTTGTTCCAGTAGACACAAGGGTGGCAGCAGCAGTAGACTTACTTAGGGGTCCAGGTGAGCCCTGTGGAATCTTAACACCTACTGGCTGCATTTTCCTGTCTCTTCTCTTTCTCTCTGAAATAATTGCTCTTTAAGGAGTGATCATCTGACGGGCTCAGCTCATTCACAGAGCATAATCATCCTCATAATCCCAGACTCCCCTAATGTAGAGGTGACCCCAGCCTCAGTCTTGCCTTCACTCTAAACACACAGATGGAGCCCACCTGAGACATTGGACGCAGGAGCCCGTTGAGGGAGGCCTCATTCTCATATTCGTGGCATTTTTGTTTCTTTAGGTTGATATCAATTACCATCCGGGTCACTTGCTTTCAACGTGAAGAACTCCTTCAGGAATCTCATAAGGCAGTTGGCTATTAATACATTTTCTCAATTTTTGTTAATCTGGCAAAGTATTTCATCTTTATGTTTTATGAGGTAGTTTTGGTGAATACAGAGTTCT